CGCCCCGGTCGAACCGCAACAGCAGTGAGGTCAGCGGCGCGCCGCTCCCCTCGCCTCGCACTCACTTGACGTCAGCGGCGCTCCCCTCGCCTCGCCTCGCACTCACTTGACGTCAGCGGCGCTCCCCTCGCCTCGCCTCGCACTCACTTGACGTCAGCGGCGCTCCCCTCGCCTCGCCTCGCACTCACTTGACATCAGCGGCGCGCCCCTCCCCTCCCCTCGCCTCGCCTCGCACTCACTTGACGATCTTGCCCGGACGCAGATCGAAGTTCTTCTTGACGATGTCCAGCAGCTGGCGCTGGCTGTAGGAGCTGGTGCCGTAGTGGAACACCGTGATGGAGATCGGCTCGGACACGCCGATGGCGTACGACACCTGCCAGCGCCGGCCGCGGCACAGCACAGCGTCAGCACAGCGCCGGACCAGTCGGCGTCGCCGCCACAAGCGCCGACACGGAAAAACGGCACCGGCCGCCGACAGCACGCGCTGTGCGCTGTGGTGACTGGTGGAGACGGAACGGCTGGGACGGGACACACGCAGATGGCGGCGGCCGTCTTGCGCCCATGCGTGCGTTCGTGTCCGCCACGCGAGTGGCGTCCGATGGTAAGTGATGACGAACATAACTGAACGAACGTCATTGAATAAATGTGAGCAAGAAGTTAACAAACAAGAATTGACGATAATGCTGACGGAAGGAAGGCCGCCGGTCACTGGACAGAAACTCCACAGCCTCTCCCGCTCCCACCCCACACCAGACCGGCGCTCGCGCGAATTCTGACTCAGGATCCATCGCCTCGCACCCAGCCAAACCCTCCCGCCAAGACGGGCCGCGCCGACGCCGGGCGCCGCCTCAGCCGGCCGGAGGAGGCGCGGCGCTCACCTGGACGAGACAGCGCCGGCACAGGCCGGCCCGCACCAGACTCTTGGCCACCCAGCGGGCGGCGTACGCTGCCGATCGGTCCACCTTGGTGTAGTCCTTGCCGCTGTGGACGCCGAGGACCGCGCCCGGTTAGATGGTGCTGTGGCACCAGGTGCGCACCACGGCGCCGTTCCACGCCGCGCCACGTGGCGGTCATTTAGTGGTGCGGTTTATGGGGACGCTGGTACAATTTAAGGGGACGTTGGTGCAATTTAAGGGGGTGTTAGTGTAATTCAACGGGACGTTGGCGCAGTGTAAGGGACATTGGCGCGGTGTAAGAGGAGGCTGGTGCCGTTTAAGGTGACGTTGGCGCGGCTTGAATGGACGTTGGTGCAGTTTTACGAGAAGGTTGGTGCAGTTTGAGGGGACATCGATGCGGCTCACGGGGACGTCCCCTAGGCCGGTTCAGCTGTCGCCCAATTCGGCAGTTGTTTAATTGACTTGTCTGTACAAATAGGCGCTCGGATGGTAAGATCGGTTCTGGGCAGACATCTCATGTGCTTATAACTTGCATACGAGTACAGAGCATTCGGGCCGCACCATTTCGCAAGCTGGAGGAGCCGGACAGCACAGCGGTGTACAACGCGGCAACAGTCCCGCCGCAACATTAACAGGAAGAGGAAGTCGCCTGTGGCCGGTATAGAGGCGTCCACTCGATATCACTGCCCCCGACCGTACCCCCGCTCCCTGAACGCACCCCCTCCCTCCTCCCTGAGTATACCCCTCCCGTCCCCGACCGTACTCCTTTGCTCCCTGATCATACCGCCTGCTCCCTGGCCGTACCCTCTGCCTCCTGGCCCGATCCCCCCCCCCCCCCCCCCCCCCCCCAGCCATACAACCGCCTGTCGAACCCCTCGCCGGTCCAAGATACGTCGGAGAGAGCGGTAAGATGGCCCGATTCTCCGCCAGAGCATGCTCGGCAACAGCTGACCAACAACGCAGCCTTCCCAGCTCTTGCTTATCACAGCCAAGGACGTAGCCAACGCAGAGGGGAGGGGCACGAGCCAAGCCCCCCTCTACCCCCAACCACCCTCCAGCCAAGAGACGTACACTAGACACCGAGCGATTTTCGCCACAAAGTTTAGTCCAACTTCGCGAGAGTTCGAACAGCCTGCCATTCACCCCCCGTCCCTCGAGCGACTTCCTGGCAACGCGCCTCCCGCCTGTCCGCCGTCGGCGCCCCGAGCGCCGCCGCCCTCCAGCCGCCGTGCTCACCTGAAGGCGCCGCCACCATGGGCGCCCCGCCGCCGTACGTGTCCACGATGATCTTGCGGCCGGTGAGGCCGGCGTCGCTCTGCGGCCCGCCGATGATGAACTCGCCGCACGGGTTCACGTGGTACACCGTCTGCGGGGTGAGGTACTTGGCCGGGATCACCTCCCGGATCACCTGGCGGAAGCGCGGGGGGGGGCGGGCAGCGAGCGCGCGGTACGCCCCTGTCGCGACGTCGCGGGGAGCGGGGCGAGCCCCCGCGCCGGCCGGCCGGAAGTGTGGTGTTTCGGCCGACCAATGGGCCATTTGTTACTTGTCTGGCGATTGGCTGGTTACGGCTGCTCATGTTACAGCTGGTGGGCAGGGCAACTGGCCAGACGGAAACACAGCCGGCGAGGAGTAATAGGCCGGACGGAAACACAGCTGGCGGTCGAAGCCACCAGCTGACGGTTGAAGCCACCAGCTGACGGCCGAAGCCACCAGCTAGTGCTAACTGGTGGAGCACGTTTTACATACGGTTAACCACAAGGCCCTCATCCACCGGAGGATACCGGCATGGTAGGGAGCAGGTAACTACCATTTCAGCAAGGCTATGAGCTGCTGGTCTTTCCTTCGCGATACGAATTGGCATGTCTTATTCCGTCAATAATCGACGCGCCCCGAGGTAGACGTCACCAAGGAAGCACAAGCCATATGGAGTGGAAAGCAATCGACGTTTCAGGCTGTATCCATGATCACGAAGTGAACAAGGTTAAGTCCACCCTGTTCATTCGTGATCACTGAGCAAAGCGTGAAACGTCGAACATTGTCGATATAGCCACCCCTTCCTTGATAACATTGCTTCACCAGTACCTCCCGGTATATTAGAAAAACAATTGCTGTCAGAAAAACTCAGAGATAACATCCAAACTCAGAGATAACCGACGCTTGGTGGCTGAACTGAACCCATTTACACGAGATATTAACGTGAGCCACGACCACACGACCGCTTCCCTCGAGAACCTGACGCACTAAGCAGACGTGCGCGCTAACACGGATCCCCGACAACGGTCCGGCTCCTTTTATGAAATGTCCATTCGACAGACAACCAAACTACATCGCACAATTGCATGCCAAATGAATGAGGATGCAAATGCAAATGGAAGAAAACGCAAGAAAAGATCTGCATTATCATCTCTGAAGCATAGGGAAAGGTAGCCGCAGACGTCTACAGAGAACATGGTCGATTGTCACCAGAGTAGCATCCCCCTCCCCCCTTCCCATCTCTGATGCTGACCTTTTCCATGACCTCGCGGCGGAGCTGCTCCAGCGAGACATCCGGCGAGTGCTGCACCGACACGACCACGCTGTGCACGGTGCGCTGCACCATGGCGCCGCCGTCCGACGCATACTCAATCGTCACCTGGCGGCACGGCGTCAAACCACAGGTCAGCTGGCAAATGATAGATGGCAGCACGAGTCACATGTGGTAGCGCAGGAGTAAAACAGGGAGGAAGCGCTTAATACATACCAGCCTGAAGGGACCCAGAGGCGCGCATCTTATCTTATTTTGCATAAACTTCAGCAATGTTGTTTTTTATAATTGCGAGTGCTATGGCATATGTCCGTGCGTAACAGCATAAGCGCACGCCCTCCAACTCTGAGACACCCACACCGCGTGCGCCGAAACATACAGCGGTCACGAATACCACGCGCTCGGACCTCTCCGGACCTCTCCACAAATCGACACTGAAACGGCCGGTATCCCGCCCCACGGCACAGATTCGTCACGGGAACCGCATAGCAACCCCCCCCCCCCCCCCTCCAAATCACAATCACAATATCGGCCAGCGGCGCCAAGGCTACGTCGACAGAAGCCGGCTGCTGTCCCGCCGGCCGACCTGGTGACGGCTCGGCAGCACGTCAATTGCTGACGTCACAGCACCAGGGCTGGGCAGGCCTCAGCCAGCCGACTACCCACGGCTCAGCAGGCACCTAACCCGCTGACGTCACAGCCCCAGGGCGGGCAAGCCTCAGCCAGCGCTACCACGGCTCCGCACGCACGTGACCCGCTGACGTCACAGCCCAGGAATGCGGCCTTCGCCTGCGCAGCCACGGCTCGCTGGGGCACGCGGCAGCGGGTCCAGCGTGAATACTTGATTAGAGCCGCTGAGTTTCGCCCCACGTCATTCCAGCGGGACTTCTGTAGCGAGTTGCCCGGAGGCCGGCCGGAGGGCTCACCTGCGTCTTGGAGTCGGGCCGGGCCCACCAGAGGGTGCCGTCCTTGCGCAGCTCCGAGATACGCCGGTTGAGCGCGTGTGCCAGCACCACCGTCAGCGGCATGCACTGCTCCGTCTCGTCAGTGGCGTAGCCGAACATGAGGCCCTTGCGACGTCACGGCAGGTCACGGCAGGTCAGGTCGCGTCAGGTCAATGGCGGGAGCGAGGGCGAGGCATGACCGGGCTGGGCTGCGGTACTGCACGGTTGCGCGTGCCACCGCGATGTACAATTATTCAATGGGTTGAAACCTTACCTTTTTGCACTAGTGTAGGCGACTTAAAATATATACGATCCCGCCTATTTAGGTTAGACAAGACAATTATTGCGAATGTTCCGCAACTCAAAGAACCGGACGTTCGTGCACCATACAAGAACTTTCGCATGAAGCCAACCAGTAACATACAAAGCAGAACTGAAATCATAAGTAACAAGGCCAAACAAAGTGGCAACCCATTCCCCTATTCTGCCAGTCAGCACATAACAGTGCTGCATAACAAGGAAACAGGAGGCCAAAACGCGGGGAACCTTCCAACCAATAAACAATTTCAGCAACCAGTGAGCTGGACATCTAACGACAACCCACAGTACTCACACGCCCGGCCAGTGACGTCAGTGCTGTACCAGGCGAACACGCGGCACGCGCCGACCAATCGGTGCCCAGCCGCCATCCCCGTCAGCATGCACCGTCAGCACCACCACACACACACGCCCAGCCACCGTCAGCATGCCCTCGCCACCACCACACACACACCCCAGCCCCGACCAGCCCCGGCAGGCGGCCCCCACCAGCGCCTGCTGAGGAGAGCGAGAGCCGCGGACCCCACCATAAGGCCGCACCGCAGGTACAGGCCGATAGGGGTTCCGAGCATGCAGCTACAATATCGAGACGGGCCAGGGGGAAGGGGGGGGGGGAGCTAACGCGAGGAAGACGAAGGGCAGGGACGGAGACGTCGACTGGTGCGGCAGGGATGGGGTGGCGGGTGGGGAGGGGAGGGGGGAGGGCTGACGTGGAGACGCGACAGGGACAGAGACGTCGCCTGGTGCGGCGGGGATGGGTGGCGGGTACGGGGAGGGGAACAGAGCGGGAGACGGGGGACGTAGCTGGAATGTCTGATGTTCAGTTCACACAACTTTTAATATACCAGGAAGTACTTGCTGTGCGACTATAATGACGGCACCCAATAATTCGAGCTGCGCTCACCTTAAATATACATCCTCAAGATATCGAGCTCGACATATCGAATGCCGTCAAAATAACGTTATTTACCATTCCTGCCTACTGAGTCGTTTAGCCAGTACTCCCAGTATATCGCAGGTCGTTATCTCAACGGAAGAACTTTCAACTTTGCCAGCAAACCAGGAGCTTAAGGCCTTTCGTGCTTGCATCAAGACCATGGGGACAGGGAGGACTGAACGGAGAGGCGGCGTTGGGGCTCTACAGGGGGCAACGGTAGTCGCACAGACCCGCCACGGTCACCTGGTCACCGGCGCCCACGTCCTCGTCCGAGCGGCCTACGTGCACGCCCGAGGCGATGTTGGGGCTCTGCTCCTCCAGCGCCATCATGATGCTGCACGTCTTGTAGTCGAACCCTGCCGCCGGCAGCGGGCCGTCAGCCCCGCGGCAAGCACAGCCCAGTCACCGGTTAGTTCAGGGACGAGGGAGGCTCTACGGCCGGCCGGCCGGAGGCTACCGGGCTCGCCGCCGGCACCGGACACCGACTGCTGGTTGGTGGTAGTGAGAGCGGGGTGGAGACGGGCAGCGCATGCAGTTGCCGCCGCCGACTCCATCATGCACCGTCGCCGGTCGCCGCCCCCTGTCGAGCCCCGGGCGCCGCACCAGAGCCGCCGCCGCCCGCCGCCACGTTCGCCATCCCCTCTGTCGGCGCGGTTAGTCCCTTTGCGGCGCCGCGTGCAGGCTGCGCTGGCCGCGGCCGCCGGCAGGTGCAGTACCTGGTCGCCGGCCCCCACATCGTCCTCGTGCCGGTCGATGTTGTACACCGGCCGCCAATGCTCAGGACTCTGCTGCCTCTACGGCGATCATCAGGTTCAGCGTCTGAAGTCGAAGGCCTGCGGCGCGGCCGGTGTTCACACGGGCACGGAGGGGGCTGGGCGAGTTTCGAACTCCGAGCACGCGGTTAACGTTAAGTGCAGTGCCACGGTCAGCAGAGAACTCCGGCTGGAAGTCGCGGCGTGAGGTGCAGTGCGCGGCCTCACCGCCACAAGGCAGTGGGGAGTCAAGTGGGGAGGGAAAGGGCGAAGGCGGTCATGCCACTCCGAAGAGACACGGCGACCGACGCATCGACACACACAAGCGCATGCACACGCACTAGACATCACCGCCAGGGGCGTTCGTTCAGACCTCGCGGGAGCGATATCCGCCCCACACACGAACACATTTCATACTCGAAACAGGCGACAGTGCCGCAGGCCCGAGCGGCGGTCCCTAGCGCAGGCCGAAGCGCTTCCCCCGGGGACCACCGAACCCGGGCCTTTTTCCTAACATCCGGCACTGTCCTGAAGACATCGCCTAGCCGTCTCCCAACCACAACCACCCGGACATCAAGGGCCGGACCGGACAAGTTTCCAGGCCATAAGCCCCTCCCCGCCAGCGGTCAGCGCCGACCCGCGGCTTCGCATGCAAGCAGAGTCTGCCTCGGCCGCCGGTAGATGGTAGCATCCAGCGCCTGACCTTTGCGGCAGTCGTCATAGCCGATGTCACGGATCGTGTCGCGCACGATCCGCTGGTAGTCGACGGTCGCCTTGGACGAGATCTCGCCGCCAGACCAGGATCATGCCCGTCTTGGTGGTGGTCTTCTGAGGAGGGGACGGCGCGTCAGGTCAGGTTCCGTCAGGTCCACCAGGCAAGGGAAAACCGGATACAGCGCGTGAGGTAAATCTAGCGATCACGGACGCACCTGAACCACTGGCCCGCTTCGACCGCGATCTCCGCGCAAATGTCAGGTCGGATCGGGGCCAAGGCCTGGTCAGATCGGGTCAGGCCAAGGCCAGCTCAGGTCAGGTCGGGTCAGGTTAGGATCAGTAGCGAGCGGGGTTTGGTTGCGAGGCATGCGTGGGCGCCGTTGAAGCCAAATGCGCCGATTACGAGAGTGACCGCGTCCTACAGACGGTTTTGGGACTGTTGACAGGGTGTTTTCAGGCATGGGCAGCACCTTACGTGTACACCCTGGACGCTTATGTCTGAAATCTGAGCGCACTTTGGGGCCTGGCGATGAAAATGGCCAGGGAACCAAATCATTACTTTTCAATCTGCTATTACATCGGCTACTCCAAATCCATGAAAATAGCACAATACGACCGCGAAACGAAAGACATTTGATAAGCTTCAAGCAGTCGTCACGTAAAACTCTGATCCAAAATCTCCCACACACATTTGCATAAAACGCATTATCGACTCCCCCCTTCCATGCCTTACTCAAGGCCGCTTCACCCGAGTCACTAGTCACAACACAAACCTTTTGGTGTACGAGCACGACAAAAACAGGACAAAAGCGGAGAACAAAATCTGACAAGCGTTGACATCAGCAGTGACGACGGCAGACGGTCGGCGTCGGCGCTCAATGCCACAAGTGCGCCACAACTGTCGACTTGGCGCCGCGAGCGCCGCGTCACCTTCGGGCGATCCATCTGGCCGTCTGCGCCATTCGCAGGTACGGTGCGGCTCACAGGAGTCAGGTGTTCACCGCCACGGTGAGCTAAAGAAGCGAGGGGGAAGGGGAGTCCACGCGGCCAGGCAGTGGCTGGCCGCGCGGACTCCAGCCGCCGCTGGCTCGTGACGGCCTGTGTATCCACCACCCTCTCCCCGCGCGCCTAGGTCGCCGGGCGCGCCCTCATCGACCCCGGCCGCTGTTACGAGCGTCGCACGGCCACGCAGCACCGTCAACAGACGCCGGCGTCGATACCGCCGGCTGGAAGCCGCGGCGGGCCATGAGCCATGTCGGCGGGGCCGGCCGATCCCAAGCCGGCCGCTCGACGACGCTCGCCCGGCGCCGGGTCGGCCGGCCGGCCAGGGGGGAGGGGGAGGGGGCAGGCGTGGCGCAGCGGACGAGGTCGGCGGCGGATGACCGAGGAGCGGGAGGGGCAGAGCTGATGGGGCTATGTGGGACGCCAATACCGTAGGGGTGCGGCGCGGCGAGCGACTGCGCCACCCGTCAGGCACAATGCCAGCGTCCCGCACGGCGAGGCGCAGGCTCAACGCTGCCCGCTCCGGCGGCGAGGCGGCAACTAGACCCGCGCCGCCTGCCCGCACTCTGACGGCGCCGCCGCCGCCGCCGCCGCCGTCCCACTTCCGTCCCGTCACGCCAGCTGCAGACCAAGCGGCTCAGCGTGGGGTGGCCAGACCGGGGCGACGCGTGGTCTGGCAACACGCCATCCACCCCGCCGCCGGCGGCTCGCCGCCGCCGCAGTGACCCCGTCACACAGCAGACCAGGCGCGCCCGCCGGCTTCCAAGACAGGCGCTTCACAGTGTGCGAACGGGTGGTGCTACTGTCGCGCGCCAACTAGCGCCCAAGTTTTGAAGAGTTTGTCCTTTTAACCGGAATGCACGTCGTTCCGCATCGGAGCACGACATTAGCGCCGGCGGCACTGATTACCACTGCATACGTAGAACATCCCCACGTGAAGGGCACGTACCTCCCCCGACGTGCATCCCCGTAGTCTTAACGTGGGGACCTCGGGCGCCGCGTTATACGTATCAACGCACGCGGGGACGCGCCACCGCCCTCTTCCGGCACGTGTCCGAGCCCCGGCAGGCCTCCCTGTACCGTACTGTCGCCGCAGGCAGGGCACGCGACGCCGCGTCGACGGCGGCGCCTCGCCACTCACCGCAGGCCACCTTGGCGTCCGGGTCCTGCCTCAGGTAGGCGTCCAGGATGCGTCGCTGACCTGGTCGCAGATCTTGTCTGGAAACACAGACGGACGCAACAGTTGAACACGTGCTGGCTGGAGCGTCAGGCGGCGCGCTGGCGACGGTTGAACAATCGCTCGGAAAAAAATGTCCGAGGGAGGCAGGGAGGGAGGAGGAAGGAAACCTTTGTTCACGACGGTGGCAGAGCTATGCGATTGGATTCTCAGACACGGAAACCGTGTGACAAGATTGCACACATTGCCGAGGAACGCGATAACATCGATGACGGGCCTGATCCCAGAAATCCATCCATTCACAAGCTCGGGCTGAATCATTAAAGCGATATCAGTCTCAGGAACTTATATTTGTACGCATGTGGCGCTAATGACTTCAAACACCACATGCGAACCAAGAAAGCACAACGTCAGCCAGCAACCGAGCCAAGCCTCCCACGCATAAACAGACCCGCGTAATCAGAGCGTAATTAGAGCGTAACCAGACCCACGTTTCGACTGAAGATGTCGCTGACGCGCGTAATACCCCAGCCAGAGCGAATTGCTCTTCAGGGCACTCCGTATGCCAAACGCGTGGTCTGAGACGGAACCACGAAGTGTCCTCCACCCCGCATGGTCTGCGACGGAACCATGGAGCATCTTTACACCGGCGCATGGTCTGCGTCGGAGCCATTGGGCGTCCTCACACCAGCACATGGTCTGCGACGGGACCATGAACTGTCCTTACAACCGGCGCCCGACGGCAGCAGCAAACCCCACGGTACCTGGGAATTGCTTGTCCCAGCAAACCTCCCCGTCCTCACACTATTTGCACGCGACATGCTCCATCCCGAGTTCCGTCCCCACGGCGCGAACCCTCCCCTTCGCAAGCTCGGCTTCCCGGCTGGACAGCGCTGACCTCACAGCCCGGCGCAGGGCGCTGGCGCAGAACGCTCCACAGGCAGCCAACACGCCACGTCACCGCCCACCTCATGCACCCATCCTCAGGTTCATCTCGAGTCTCTGCGCACGGCCGGGCGGGGAGGAGCGGCGAACACGGCGGCCGTCCGCCCCCCTCCAGAGGTCAGCCCCGGGAGAACCGGTCGCTGGGCCGGGGCCGGGGGCCGGGCGTGAACGGCCGACGGAGCGGCCGCCCGCCGCTCGAGGACGGCAAAGCGTGCCGAGGCCCGCTGACCGCGTGCACATGGGCACCCGGCCAGCGGAGTGGCGCTTACCCCACGCAGCCGACACGGAGGTCCTTCTCCACGTCAGCCCGCGTTTGTCTATCGTTTCACCGGAATCAGCTGAGCTTGATCCTCGCTTATCCGCCGACTACGACACCGAGCGCGGGACGGCCCTGGCTTGCATCGGAGTCGACATAATTAGTGGGGACGATTCACAATGCATCGGATCTCAACAGACAGACGCGCGGAGGGACGACGCAACCATAGTCCCCGAATACTAGGAAGTCCACGAGAACTCCGTCTCGGAGCCCCGAGCGTGACACGGCCCGAGCGGCGACTCCCGGCTTTGGCCGCCGGCCGCTAACGGCCCATCGCCCGAAGCCACGGCGGACCGCTGCGCGGAGATCGACGGCCTCCTCTTACGTTGGTCTGTCAGCAGCACGGCCCGCGCGCCGTTCCAGTAATCGAGCCCCCGCGATTACCGACCTCACGCTCCCACGCGCCGCCGCCCGCGGACGGGCTCGATCCTGCGCCGATGGCCGCACATGCCTGAGAAGATCGGCGCCTACGTGCTGCGCCCATGGTTACCTGTTGAGAGCGCGTACCACGACCGCGTTCCCCGTTGGCAAGGCAGCTACGCGAGGTTGCCGCCTGACGTTAGGCAGAAACCACACGAGATTGCATGACCCGTCACACGGTGGCTGTGCTCCCCAGCCGCAGGAAACCGTCTGTGACGAACTCCATGTGTGATCTCGCACGCTGTGCGACACAACGGACGGCGTTGGGCAAAGGGAGCGCGACCCAGAGGTACGCATGGGCCCACCCCCCCGCCTCGTCCCACTTGAACAAGTGGACCGGCAAACAGCCGCGTACAGCGGCGGCCACCGTTAAGGACTGGCCTGCTGCCCAAGGCCTCCCTCGTAACCCAACTGTGCCTGACCTACACAAAACAGCGAGTGAAACCGAACGGTCGAACTCGTCGGTTGAGAACGCTCCGGTCAACAACCTCAAACAGCGCTGCAGCCGCTGCGGCGCCCCAATTCCAATATCAAGCAGACATGGTTTCCAGACGGAGCACTTCTCCGTTGTGTTAAGCCAAACTGTTAACATGGGCAAGTAATAAGCACGATCCCAGATACGACTGAATGCCGCGACTGAATCAGACGAATCTCGACGAACGCACCGTATCTGAGTTCACTATAAACAGGCGCTGACGGCGGACCGCTTGCGACATACCGAAAGGAGCACACTCAGGGCTGACGGAAGGAGCCCGGCATGAGGGTGACGTCCTACACTGGTGCGCAAAGGTTACAGAGCATAACGCCGACATGACCTAGGGTCACTCCGCGGAGGAGTTGCCCGACGGTGGTGAGAAGACATATGAGCTGCTGTTACCGTTACATATGAGCTACTGCTGTACTGTACTGTACTACTGTACTGCTACCGTCACGGACCCTATCATCAGCATTAATGCACGTAGACGGCATTCCCATTCATTACCGCTACATTCATCTGACCAGAACAGAATCATCTCAGCCGCACCATAGCCGGCTATGGAATCCCTCCACGGCAACATAACCGATCTAATTCACCGGCATCACATCTCTCATTCATCGAACATTTCCAGTTGGACCTGAACCGCTTCCGGCCCTCCACGTCCAAACAGCATTGTTTCGGCCGAGCCACTAACGGCGATGCAGCAGCCCCAGGCCAGTTTCTCACATGGTAAACAAACGCCTCAGTGAGCTTTCTGTG